GCGAGCGCCCGGAGGCCCGCTGCGAAAGCTCGCGCAGGCGCCCTGCTCCTCCTCCGGACCCTGGCGCAGGCGCTCTGCGCCCCGCCCCGCCCCGCCCCGCCCCGCCCCCGATTGGCCATTGCCGAGCTCCTGGCGTGAAGGTGCGCCGTCTCACGTACCTTCCCGGCCGTGTGCAGCCCAGAACCGGTTTTCCCGGTTTCTAGAAAGAGCGAGAGCCTTCTCCTCAGAGGTGTGCCTGAACTTCAGGAACCGCCGTCAGATGATTCCAGCTGTGCCCACGCACAACGTTCATAGTCTTTCGTAAACATGAGCGTGTTCGGGATTTTTTTTTTTTAAATGGGTCATGAGATTCTCCCGTGTGAACTTTTATAGATGACAACACTGTGTGCCAATTTCAAAAGGTTGGACAGACCCGGTAGGATTATCTCTCCAGTCCCTGTAAGCCTTCCGGCTTCTTATTGTCTTATGTATTAGGGTGGGTTGCGTGGATGGTGTTGTACAGTCGGTTTGCTCTTAATCTTTGAAACAATGGGTGAACATCAAAATTACAGCCGTGGACTTGCAAAAGGATCAGAGGAGGTAAAGCGCGAGAATTACATAGGTATTTCATGGGACTATAGTTAATAAGCCTCTCACCTCTGTGCCAAAATATCCTGTGAGCAATAGATAAAAACCTTTTGGAGTCTATTAACTTAGCAGCCCACTGTGCCCTACCTACCAAAAGCTCAGATAGCATCTTGGGCCTGTAGGAAAGCTTTCTTCATATCGCTGAACCTGCCTCTCGGCTGTACTCACCAATGTATTTTAAACTTGCCTTAAATTTATGACTTTCTTTGTTCTGTAAAATGATAAAACTTCATGACCCTGTTTCCACATTGGAAAATAGAATTGGGGGTAACCTAAATCTAAGTATTTCCGGCCCTAGAACTATCATTTTTTCCTTTTAAGAAGAGAGCTGTGTTTTTTGCACAGGTAATACAAAAGTTGGGTATGGCCCCAGAAAGAATGCTAATGAAAAATGACTGACTCATACCACCAGGCTATTACACTTCAATTATTCTTATCCATTGCTGTACTATAAATACTGGATTTTTAAAAAATCTAGACATATAAATTGATTCTGTTGCTGGAGATGTGGCCATGTAGTGTTCTCACATGCACTACCATTAAGTCTTCATAAAACCCAAAGCTGGAATCATTTTACAGATACAGAAAATTGGGCAAAAAGAATAAATTATTTAAGGTTACTAATATAACCATAAAGTGAACTCTAAATTCAATATCTTAATGATATTATTATACAGTTAGCTAATCAGACTTTAGTTTACCACTTGGGCATCAGACAAAGATAGCACACAACTGTAAAGAAAAATATGATATCCTTTGCCTTGTAGATTGTGAAAATGAGAGCCATTACCTGGGGATTAATTAGATTGCACTATAGACAAGCTTATCTACTGTTAGTGGGTTAGAAATTCCCTGGGTTTAAATGATATTGAGTGTTTACAGAAATTAAGAAAAATAAGTAAATTGCTGATTCTTCCAGAGGTTGATCATACATCCACTGGCAAGGTAAGACCAATTGTTCCTAATTATTGAAATAGAATTGATAACACTTGAATTTATTAAGACAGAAGTAGCCTGACATAAGATGAAAAAATTCTGAAATGTTTCCAAGCCTTCTTGGCACTGAGTTGAGTTACGTGCCAGTGGAGGTGTTTGTCTTCTTGATCTATCCAGCCAGGAAGAGCAATCTTTTCAAGCATCCTTGGCACTGAGTCACATGCATGTGGAGGTGCTGTTTCTCTGGAGATAATAATTAATGCAAATAGAGAGGATCATTTATAGTAAATTCAGTTGAAGGATCTTTCACTCCTTCAGAATTAACTGTGTTGATTCTTGGCTACTCCTTATAGAAATGAATGTAGAGTATGTTGAGGAGGAATTTGCTATGCTCATTGGTTAAAAGTAGGAATGCAGAGCCGGGCGGTGGTGGCGCACGCCTTTAATCCCAGCACTCGGGAGGCAGAGCCAGGCGGATCTCTGTGAGTTCGAGGCCAGCCTGGTCTCCAAAGCGAGTTCCAGGAAAGGCACAAAGCTACACAGAGAAACTCTTGTCTCGAAAAACCAAAAAAAAAAAAAAAAAAAAAAAAAAAGTAGGAATGCTAGTAAAGGCATTTGCTGCCAAGTCTGATGACTTGCATTCAGTACTCAGGACTCACATGGTTGAAGGAGAGAATGGCTCCTATATGTCCCCATTGCATGTGAGCACACAAACACAAACAGTAATGATAATAATCAAAAAGAAAAAAAATACTGTACTAAAATCAAAATATATTGTCATGTATGAGTTCTGCATTTCCCTAGTCCCACTGAACCTTAGGTAGGCCTTACACATTCAAGAGAAAAATACATACTACCGTTGTGGAATATTAGTTGAAGATGTGTTACATTTATGCTGTGGAACATTTGTTTAATGATGCAAAAATGTGTTGTATTCTTTTATGTTGCATTTGTATAACTCAGTGATGCTGTATTACTGTGCCTGTCTAAAACACGTGATGGGATAGGCAGGACTGCCAGGCAGAAAGAATAAATAGAAGGAGAAAAGGAGGAGAAGAGGATGCCAGGGACCAGCCACCCAACCACACTGTCAGACACGGAATAAGAAGGAAAGAAAAGATATTCAGAAATAGAGAAAGGTAAAAGCTTAGAGGCAAAAGATGGATGGAATGGTTTTAGAAAAGTTGGCTAAAAATAAGATTATTTGGGATCTGGGTGGTGGGCCCCCAAAGAGCAAAGAGTTAAAAAAACAAAAAAAAAACAAAAAAACTACATACTAGAGGTTGAATTGTTGAACTGCTGCTACAGTCCAGCAGACTGTCTTCCTAATACAGCATAATTAATCACCTCTCATTTTTATTTTATCTTTTCCTCCTTTTCAGATTTGGTACCTATCTTAGTCACTGTTTATTGTTGTGAAGAGACACCATGTCACAGTAACTCTTACAGAAGAAAGCATTTTAGTTGGGAGCTTGCTTGCAGTTTCAGAGGCTTATAGTCCATTATCATCATGGTGGGGTGCATGGTGGCACAGATAGCACTGGAGCAGTAGCTGAGAGCTATATCCTGATCTGAAGGCAGGAGAGACTGGGAGAGGGTGGATCCTGCAAATGCTATTTCCTGCAGGGAAATGAACCATGTGAGGCAAGATGGAAACTCGTTCAACATGACTTAGTTATACGGTGCTGGTTCAAACCTTGAAAGTCCGACACTGGGCAGTTTATTTTAAACATGTTTAAGTATGGCACAGTTTTGGAAAAAAGTTTCCTGGTAACAATTATCCCAACCTGGTGTGTACAATAAAGCTTAAGGCATGACCATATGGAAACTCTTACTGTAAAATGTTAGTTGAAGATATATTACATTTATGCTGTGGAGTATGTGTTCAATGATGCAAAGATATGTTGCATTCTTTTATGTTGCCTTTGTTTAACTCTGTGAAGCTGTGTTACTTTGCCTGTCTAAAACACCTGATTGACCCAGCTGAATGGCCAATAGGTAGGCAGGAGAGAGAAATAGATAGGGCTGGCAGGCATATAGAATAAATAGGAGGAGAGACCTAGGAAAAGAAGATCATGGAGTGAGAAAGAGGAGGAAAGGAAGAGTCCAGGGGCCAGCCACTGAGCTACACAGCAAGCCATGGAGAAAGAAGTAAAGAAGAGATATACAGAAATAGAAAAAGGTAAAATCCCAGAGGCAAAAGGTAGACTAAATAATTTAGGTTAAGAAAAGCTGGCTAGAAACAAGCCAAGCTAGGGCCGGGAGGAAGACAGAGATTCTGTAGAGGGTAAGGCATTGTAGAGTTTTCTGAGAGCCAGGAGTAAGGAGCTAGAAAGGAGAGATGGAGGATAAAGGAACAGAGGACAAAGATGAGGCCCAAAGCATAAGGGCTTAGTTATTACTGGAACTACACAGAACAGAAAAAGGAAGTACAGAGAGGATCTGAATGTCAGGATGGAACTGAGGCTGGGTAGATAGAATTTTATCTTAGAGAAATAAAGTAAAAGGACATAAGAGTTCAATGTACTTAGATTCTTTTCCCAAAAATAATTCTTGCCATTCATAGTTTCTTTTCTGGGCCCCCTGGGAAGTATATTATTAAGTCTCGTTCCATAATAATATACAAGAACAAAGTATGGAAATATATTACCCATTGAGGCCATTGTTACCCAAACCACCACAGTACCGGTCCCAACAGTAATCCCATTGATTGCTACAACTATTTATCCATAGTCTGGCACTTTTTATTATTTTTTTCATCATTATTACTTCACATATTGGGGATAGCTTTTGTAGTCCAAGAGCAAGCATCATAATCATCATCCTTAAACTGGTGTTTCTCCCTTATCTTCATACTCTGAAAAAGCTCCCATCCCCATACCCAGTTATCAATCCAGCGCCACCCTACTCAGACAGCCTAGTCAGCAGCCTTTTCCCCAGGGTCTCTTCAATTTAGTACATCCCATTCATTCAAAATGTGATGGTTCCCACTACATGTCTAAATCCTACCCATCCTTTGGAACCCAGTTTAGGTGCTTCATAGTTTCCCTCCCTACAGTTCACCTTGATCTTCCCTAACACACCATTTGCAAAATCTTCACATTAACTCGACTTTAGGTACTTAGTATGTCTTGCTTCTTGGAAAGAAAGTATTAAAATGAGGGCTTGCATAGATGCTAAGATTAAAGGCATGTGCTATCACTGCCTGACCTCTATATTTAATATAGTGGCTAGCTTTATCCTCTGATCTCCAGACAAG